GTCTCCCATGCTGAGCTGAAGGAATTAATTGAGAAGTTTCCTAACGGTTCATCACTTATGGAACAACATTCTAGACCTCGGCGTAATCAAAAAGTTAAGTGATAATGTTCCCGGCACTTTCTTTTCTCGTTAATACTGTGGATTGTGATATTTGTTTCAAGTGTTTGTTTTGTTGACAATTATACTGTTATTTCTATGTGACACATGACAGTTCCTTCTTGATATGTTCGGATATTTGTACTAAAATCTTTGTCATTGCCACAATGTACATGTATATATCTTATTTGTTTTTTGTTTGTTTTAAATTAAGAAGCCATGTAAAGGATAACTTTATCTGAATTTATTTAAGGTAATTAGGTATTTGTTTTTGTATTATTTTTTGTATTTCCTTGATTTAATATTTTTATATATTTATATTTATTTAATATCTTATGTGCGATAGTATATTGAATATTGATATTGATAATGATTTATTTTCTGATAGTTCCACAGATGATTGTATAATTAATGATAGCGTGTCTTCTTGTTCCGATCTACAAATCAATAATTTATTTCCCGATTCATTAAATTTCTTTAACATTGTACATATTAATGCACAGAGTATTCCGGCGCATTATTCTGATCTTCTGGCATCCTTTAGCAACACACGTGTCGACTGCATTCTGGTCTCTGAGTCATGGCTGAAACCTTCTCTCCCCTCCTCTCTTTACAATATTCCTAATTTTACCCTCATACGTAACGATAGAACCTTTAAAAGAGGTGGAGGAATTTGTATTTACCTTCGAAATAACTTGTGCTTTCATACTATTTCTCAGTCTCCACAATGTGTTTCCGAACCCATTTTGGAGCACCTTTTCGTCGAAGTTAATGTCCTCAATTCCAAGCTTTTGATCGGTGTTCTATATAGCCCCTCTTCACACGTTAATTATTTTCCTTCTTTAGATTCCCTTCTTGATAAATTTTCTCCTTCTTATGATCACCTTATACTAATGGGAGACCTGAACACCTGCCTTATCAAAAATGACTACAGAGCCGAAAGATTGAAATCCTTAATTTCATCTTTTAACCTTTCAGTCCTTCCCTTATCTGCAACCCACTATCCTCCAAACGCTGGATCTTCTCTTCTCGATCTTATAATTGTATCTCAACTTGAATATGCTCGCTCCTATGGCCAAATTTCATCGCCTTTTTCTTACCATGACCTCATTTTCCTTAATTATAGTATTTCTACCGTAAGAAACAAACGCCGTTCAATTTTTCGCCGTAGTTTAAAAAGCGTTAATACTGATGTCCTCTTGTCTGACGCACTGTGTATAGATTGGTCGCCTCTTTACAATTCTGCGAATATTGATGAAAAAGTGAACTGTTTCAATTCTGAAATTAACAATCTCTATGACATTCATGCTCCGATGAGACGTATACGAGTTAGGCATTATCCCGCACCTTGGCTAACTCCAACAATTAAATCCTTTATGGCCAAGCGGGATAAAGCTAAACGTAAATTCAGAAAGGATCAGTCGCTTGATAACCATGCTGCCTACAAAAAGCTGCGTAATCTCTGTAATAGAATGTGTAGGGATGCAAAGCGCCGCTACATCTTCTCCTCTATTTGTAATACTTCAAGCTCACAAATGTGGAGCTTTCTAAACTCATTGGGTGTGGGTAATTGTTCCAAGTGGAAATCTTTCCAAAATATTAATTTAAATGATTTAAATAATCATTTCTCCAATCCTCCGGTGTCTGTGCCTTCATCTCGTAAGAATTACACTTTAATGAAACTTGCTTCCACCTCCCCACCTAATGGTAACTCTTTTTCATTTCCCATAATAACGGAAGATGATGTCGAGAAATCTCTTTTATCCATTTCTTCCAAAGCAGTGGGTTATGATGAAATCAGTGTTGACATGATCTTACCAATACTCAGCGTTGTGTCACCTGTATTAACTCACATTTTTAATTTTTCTTTGGTATCAGGAACATTTCCTACTGCTTGGAAGTCGGCTCATATTATCCCGCTTCCTAAACTATCTAACCCCACTTTACCATCTCACTTTAGACCTATCGCTATTCTCCCTATCCTTTCTAAAGTTTTTGAACTTATTATCCATAAACACCTTTCTGACTACCTTCACCACAATAACCTCCTTAGCCCATTTCAATCGGGTTTCCGATCCCACCATAGTACCAGATCTGCTTTACTGAAAGTAACAGAGGATGTCCGAAACGCTATGGACAACAGAGAATTAACCATTTTAGTTCTCCTAGACTTCAGTAATGCATTTAACTCAGTTGACTTCGACATCTTATTAGGAATCCTCTCTTCTCTCTCGATATCACCAACTGTTATTAAATGGTTTCAATCTTACCTCGTCGGACGTCGGCAGATGGTGAAATCTGATGAGAGCTTCTCTGATTGGAATGTCACATATGCCGGGGTTCCACAAGGCGGCGTCCTCTCTCCTTTACTCTTCTCTTTATTCATAGATAATATTTCCAAACATATTTCTTCTCCCTATCATCTCTATGCAGATGATTTGCAGCTTTATAGACATACTCCACTATCTACACTTGTGGTAGCTATCGAGGCTGTTAATGAGGAGCTGATATCTATACACAGATGGGCAAATGACTTCGGTTTGCTAGTGAACCCAAAAAAATCTCAGGCGATTATTATTGGAAGCAAGCAAATCTACAAAAAAATTAATTTTGACACTTTACCCTGTTTAATGTACGATGGGGTGACAATCCCATTGTTAGATCGGGTTAAAAACTTAGGTCTATTAATGGATTGTCATCTGTCGTGGACAGCTCAGGTGAATGAGGTAAGTAGAAGAATTCACTCTACTCTTCATTCTCTTAAACGTCTGCAAAACTTCCTTCCTTTTAAAACTAAAATTATTCTTGTACAATCTCTCCTTCTTTCCTTACTCGACTACGGTGATGTTTGCTACTTAGATGCCACTGATGAGCTGCTCGATAAACTGGATCGACTTCAGAATTTATGCATCCGATTTATTTTCGGCTTGCGTAAATACGACCACATCTCTGAATTCCGCAACAAATTAAAGTGGCTCCCTATCCGCTTCCGCCGGAATATGCATGTTTTAACGTTAATGTACAATGTGTTCAAACATTCTTCTCCCCCGTACCTACTTGAACGTTTTAAATTTTCCTCCCCCAGAATCCTTCCTCATCGCTCCTGTGTTGCACAAAATCCTCTTGATATCCCCTCCTTTAATACTAAATTCTATCGTAAATCCTTCTCCGTCCAAGGTGCAAAACTTTGGAACTCTCTCCCACCTTCTGTTTACAAAGAGAGTCCAAGTGCATTAGCCTTTAAATATCGACTTAAGAGACATCTTCTATCACTTTTACCTTAATATAATACATATGTAATGTTTATGTACTTATTTATATATATTTATGTACATATTGTATTTATTTGTATATATTTATGTATATATTGTATTTATTTGTATACATTTATGTATATTCTATGTATGTATTTATGTATATATATTTATGTATATTCCTTCTCTCATTTTATTGTACCTATTCCACATTTCTCTTCTCATTTCCTCTATCAAAAGGGTTTCTGGTAGAGATCTCTTTTAAGAGATAAGTTATCCTTGTACATCACATTTCTTTTATAATACTTTTATTGTAACTATTTTTTTTCTGTTTGGTACATAAATAAATAAATAAATAAATAAATAAATAAATATAACAAAAATAGAGCCAAATGAAAAATCTTATTAGCAATATGCACAAGAATAAAAGATCTATACTAAGACTTAGAGACGGGTATTTATAATACTATAGATGTGTATTAAAACTGGAAAATGAGCATGCCTCTGAGAAGAACACGGAATTTAAAGGCATGTCTGGTAATAAAGAAAGTAGGGATTTATTTTATAGTGTTGTGATATGCAAAGAAAATAATATTTTCATGTTCATATTAAGACGTAATATATTTATAATTAAGTATCTATTGTCAAGACGAGAACTACATAGGAATTCAACTCCTGGATAATAGTTGTTTTGTTACAACATCTGATAGTTTTTTTGACTACATCTGACACTTCCGACATACAACGAGACTAAAAACATATGTATGACATGAAACCTCTTATGTTAATATCTTGTATTTTCATGCACTGCTACTGAAAGAAACCGGTTTGCCCATTTAAAATAACTAACTTAATTTGAAAAATTACTAGCATATAAAGAGATATGCGCGTAATTTTCATTATTGCATTTCTTTTAGAAATCTTGAAAAAGAAATATGTAGCTTAATATTTAATTAACCTCTCTTTATATAATTATTTTTTGCAACCAAATGCTTTGACTAAAACTTGGACAAAGTGTAATTTTCTAAGTGACTTATAATATCATAAATAGAATGTGTTTTTTCCTTAATTTTTTACTACTGACCAAAGTATCACAAATAACTTTGACAAAAGATATTAATTTTTTTATATAGATTTTCTTTGACTTATGTTTTGCAAGTACAGAATAGCGCGAGCTCTTAGTGTACGTCATCCTAACCTCTATTAGATTAATTTTTAATTAAATAACCCTTTCCCTTACTTTATTTTATATTTCGAGTTTAAAAGAAAAAGCTCTTATGTGATTCGTGTTAAATGTGTTTAGTATATAATATGTTTCAACATCTGAAATTTTTGCTCGTACATCTGAGGTAGAATCAGTTGGTTTTATATTGACAGACATTAAGTTTCAATACTAAGTGTCTAAGTTCTCGGAAACTTCTCGTAATCCTGAAACTTTTCATATCAATCTTTGCTAGACCGTACTGTAAACTAAGGTCTTATTTTCATTACTGTAATAACAATGAAAAAAAAAACAAAGGAAACTTATAAAAATGAGAACCGAAACTCAAATAGTTGCCATAAATTTATTATAATAAAATGTTTATGTTTGTAAGTCTATTATATTACATTATTTTCGTCTATGTATGTCTATTTTCTTATATTCTAGATTTATATTCCACAATAAGACAGAAGTACTTCTTCACTGCAGGGTTTATCACAGCACTCTGATGCTACGCCAACCAATCTCTTGTACCTGTTGATGCGGTCGCTGTCTAAACGAAAATGTCTGAACCAGGGCCATTCGTTCTCTTCGGAGATGGTGTTGTACTCTGGCAGAGACTTCTTCATCACGTTCTGACCTTTCATCTCACAAAGCCTTGCGATGACATCAGCCAAGTGTCGACCACAGTAAATCTGCCCATGATTGTGAGCGTGAGCCATTTCTAATGCAATAGCAAAAGCCAAGACGACTATAACTGCATTTGACTTCATGGTTTGATTGTAAACTCAAGTCTGATATCTTTCCATAGTCTCAGCGGCTTTTGTAGGTCGTTAAGTTCATTAATATTCAAATATATGGTGGGCATCCTTCTGAGATAATATGTCACGATCATTATGTGTTTAATCGAGCAAATGATTTGTCTTTATCTAATTTACATAATTCATTCATTGATCATGAGTGTATTTTAATTATAGTCTACAAACATAACCCCTTTACGACAGATATTCAGTTACGTGGGAAAATTTTGACATTTAAGTGAAATTATCAATTTAGAAGGTAAAGTTTTTAAACTTAATAACAAAGAGTAGAATAATTTGATGAGGAAGTTACTCTTTTGAAGACTTCTATTAAAAATACAAAATTTGCGAAGTCACTAAAACTATATCTAATTAGTAAATTATTAGTGAAAAAATAACGAAATGTATTTTTTTTAAATCATACGTACCAACATGGACAAAAAGCCAACTCAAACTATTGTGTATACTGAAAGAAATATTTTTATATCAACATTTGAAAATATTTTACTTAAAATTATTTGAATGTATCTGTCAGTCCGATAACAATATAAAAATATGCGTATGTTTTCATTCGTATAAACTTGCTAGATTATTTCAGGCTCCTACAATAATCGATAGTTTTACTGTAAGATGCGTATGTGATGTAATCTTAAATGTAATTTTAAAAAATACCTACGTAATCTTAAAAAAGTGCAAATAAACTAAATTATCAAGTATTTTTTTTTATATTACATCACAAATACATCTATCTATGAACTATATGATGTAACTTCATACAAATGCAATAATAATAAGTAATTCAAAGATAAAACGACTTTTTCTGAAGTGAAAGTTACATTACTGGAATCTTTCACCAGAATCCGTTTAATAGTTTTGGCGCAAAGGAGAAACAAACATATATATGTTGTATGTATATACATTCATTCATAAAAAACAACAACTGTTGCATTTGTTATATTAGTGAGATGGCACGAACAAGGTCCAGGATCAATATTTTATTTAAAATTTACCATCAATTTGGTCGACTTAATACGTAAATGTATTATAAAATGTAAAAAATATTTATGACGTTGCTTCTTCATAATTCAGGTACATTTATTCCACGTTACAGAATAGCGAATATTTTAATATTAATGAGCTCTAACAAGTATAAAACAATTAGTGTTCTATCTTCAGCATCACAACAAAGGTAAACTCTGTAGAGGCAAGATGAAATCTTTTACTTTAATGGTCCTCCTTGCTATGTGTTATATATCCAATGTAACTTCTCAAGGAGCTGGCCAGGTATACTGTGGAAGAAGACTGGCGATGACTCTGGCAATGCTGTGTGACAATAGTTTAATAAAGAGGTCCGAGCCTCAGTACATTCCCGAGAGCAGCTTCACGTTCCCATGGATCTCGTCTCATCGAGCACACAGCATGGGTCGGAGCAAGAGACAGGTGGTGTCCGAGTGTTGTGATAAACCTTGCTCCGTGGACGAACTGCTGGCTTACTGTGGATATTAACGATAAATATAGAATTCTTTGACGATTGATATTTTGTAAATATGAATAAATATACTGTGACTATCACATATTATTGAAAATGATTTTTACTATACTTTTTCACTTCCTGATCATACATGAAATTAATATATTTTTTAATGTCTCTCTCGCTCTCTCTCTTTCCACACGAAAGAGTATTCTGTTTTAGGATGATGTTATACATTTACATACTAATAAAGAAAAATCAAAGTAACCGTTTCGTAGTAAGAACTTTTTTTCTTCCAAGGATTAGGAAATAGAATCGAAAAAATAATTGTAAGCGACCGGCTTCAACGTCTATATCTATTTCCCGTGACTTTATGCATTGTGTATATGACATACGTAAAACGTATTTTCCAAGTGGAATTTCAGGATAAACTATAGCCTATAGTTTGTTCTGACGTTTCAGCTACATTACTGTACAACTTCATCAAATTCCGTTCAGTGATTTTCACGTGCAGCTGTGACAAACATCTACATATCCATATGTATATTCTATCAAATTTTGGCAGATATAATATCAGTAGGATTTATTAGTAACTTTCGGACCTGTTACGTAATAAGTTTGATCAGTGGTCGTGGGATGTTACAAAAATCTATTTGGTTTATTGAAGTGATATTTTATGAAGTTTGACCAATGACCTGGTTCATAAAACATTCATGAATTGTAACGTCTGGGTCTGGTTTTAAAAGTCGTATATTTATCTTTGTTATCCCCGAGGATATTATTTCTTCGTGGGTTATTATTCTTTTAAAATTTCTTGATTTAACTCACATATATACAAGTAGAGTAGTTGAATCTTGATATTATTAGAATAAAACATAATTTTGCTTGTACTAAATTACCAATTTTAATTAGTTTTTCATCCTTTTAAATAACGATTTCTAATGTAAAGCACCTATTAACATAATTTTGAATTGGAATTGAGTAACGTTTACCAACTATAGAGATTTAAAATTTAATTTTTGACTCTATGATTTTTGTGAAATTAAGAAGAAAATTTCGCTTTAATTCACAACCTTACAGATATTTTTGGAACGTCATAATTTAGAGACGGCCCCATACAAATTTTATATAAATTAGTTTAGCTGTTTCTGAGAAAAATAATAAAAACAAACATTTATTTAGAAAAGATATTCGTTTGTGGTTTCCTTCAACAAAAGTTCTTGAGGAAGAAATTAAAACAATATTTGTTGGCTTTCTTATATATTTTTTTACAAAAATCAGTTTAAAATCACCTACTCAGACTCGAGTGTCCTTTAAATCTGCTATATACAAGATATTAGTATTTTTAACTTTTTTGTTAGTTAATACCTTCAGTTAATCATAAAATCTTATTTTTTGTTTTTCAAACTAATATTTAAATTTTAATTCACTAAATCGAGTAAAGCATAAATCGATGAAAAACTTTTCTAATAAAACATGTTCTGATATTTAATTAAAATTTACTCTTTAACATTTTTTTAAAAGCTTATATTTTTCTATCTATATATATAAGAGATTTCCACCTATATATTGACTCATCACGATATCTCTGGGACCATAAGGCGTAGCGACTTGAAATTTCGTAGGATTATTCCTTTCGGCGAGTAGAGGTCTCTTAAGAACGGATTTTACGAAATTCTACCCTCAAGGAGGGTTGCGGGGTTAAACAATGAAAAATACGATTTCACGCCTAAACCACTGAACAGATTTTAATGAAATTTGGTACGGAGATGGAGTTGATCTTGAGAAAGAACATGGGATAGTTTTATTCCAGACTTTTAAAAGGTTCTCTTGGAAACGTGATATAACCGGACTCCACGCGGACGAAGCTGCGGGCGGAAAGCTAGTATTATATAATATGGCAGTTCATTTAGGATTAGCTACAGTAATCCAACTATGACGTGGAGTCAAGCATTTGATGGTTTTGGCGAAAACAAAGGATGAATCTTTGTCTGATAATAGATTTTTCTTAAAAGATATACCTAATAGCTTTTCTTTACAATAAAATAATATATAAATTTGATAAACTATGTATAGCGATTTATTCGGCATTACTTTATAAGCAATAAAAACTATTACTTAGGACATAAATAGAAAATTTTGTTTATTAAATGAATAGAAATACGGAACTTTTAAAATATAAGCCTTAACGAAGAAGCTATATGACAAAAACATTCAAAATGGAAATACGTTTCTATGAAAAACAAAAACAAAGGGGCCCCACTTTTAAAATATCAAAATTAATATAAATGTAGTGAAACACAAGATAATATTTAAAAAAAAAATAGTTTCTCCGATGTTTTTATTTAATATTTCAAAATATATTTTAATTTTTAAAATATTAACAGAATAATAATTAAAATTTTAGCTTGTATGGTTTTAGTTTTTTGTATTATTTTCACCGCTTCGTTTACCAGTGAATCAGCTTCTTGTTTCAAAGAACTATGCTTCTTTTGTAGCAAAAAATTAAATTAAGAGAGTGAAAGAAGAAAATCCTCAGGTTTTCGGCGTCGAATCAGCTGACTGTTATATATATATATATATATATATATATTATATAAAATATAACAACTCTAGATGTATATACATGGCGTACTAATGCATATTATGACGATAACAACTTTTATAACTTTTTGAATCTATATATCTCAGAAACGGTGGCTCGTAAGAAAAAAGTATTGGTACATTTTTTATTGATAATTTTATGATCTACAATTTTTGTTTGAAGTACTTTTATGATAAAACTTACTGTTTTGCTGAAAATCGCGAAAAACTCGTTTTTTTGACCTTTGACCTCAAAAAAAAATTTCCTTACAGGGGAATTATGGGGAACTTCTAGACATCGTTTATAATTATGTTTTGAACAATTTTACAGAAATTCAGCTTGTTGGAACTTTATGTAACTTCGAATGTCTAAATTGACCAGACTATAAAGTCAAGTGCTCATTTATTTTAGCGACCTCAAAAATACAGGGCTATTGCAATAGTGTATTAATTTTAATCTATAATAGGATATTTTAATACCCAATATACCTTCTTCTATATCCGTCACATTAAAATCTTGACGAGTAAATATTTGAAACAGGGTCATTCCTTCCATATATATAGTTGTGCTGCTGTTATTGTTTACTGGCTACTTGCTGTTAGGTATTCCTGGAACTGAAACATGTCAGATCAAAACTTATCATGACATCAACCAAAATTATCTTTAATGAGTTGAGTAAATCCTGAAGCTATTTCGCGGTATACTGGCTTAAGAATAATTGTAAACATAATGCCAAACCCCAACATTACATGTGATAAATTGCTCAAACAATTTTTTATAATTTATTTTCATCCAAGAAATCGTAATCGTGAGTCCCTTGTATACTTTTAATGACACCGAACATTTTTCAACAATTTGTTGTGTGATTTCGCGTCATAGAAGAAATTATTTATAAAACCAACTGTTTTTATTGTAAAACATTTTATATAACATGTTCATGTGAACATTTAGGCGTTTACAACTTCTGATACACGACAAGCTCCATTCAATAATATATCAATATAAATTAATCCACTCAAGTGATTTTCGTATATTTTAATATTAATGAATTTTATCACCTATAAAAGGACGTTCCTGTAGCGTTCACACCAAAACAGGACAAGATTCAGTGAAGGCAAGATGAAATCTTTTACTTTAATGGTCCTCCTTGCTATGTGTTATATATCCAATGTAACTTCTCAAGGAGCTGGCCAGGTATACTGTGGAAGAAGACTGGCGATGACTCTGGCCATGCTGTGTGACAATAGTTTAATAAAGAGGTCCGAGCCTCAGTACATTCCCGAGAGCAGCTTCACGTTCCCATGGATCTCGTCTCATCGAGCACACAGCATGGGTCGGAGCAAGAGACAGGTGGTGTCCGAGTGTTGTGATAAACCTTGCTCCGTGGACGAACTGCTGGCTTACTGTGGATATTAGAGAGAAACTAAGAATAGAAGAGAAAAAGCATGAAAAGTTGTAAATAACTTAGGATAGTAAATTATTTAACTTGTTAAAAATAATGTTATAATATTTTCATTTAAGAAGTTTACCTATCACTTATATTTATATTTTATATTTTAAAATTGTTAATCAAATAAAATATGAATAAATTAATTCTAAATTGAAAGTTATTAAAACGTTTTTATTTAACTTATCCTGTTATTTATTCATTTTATCGGGCTAGGTTTAGTAATTGAATTTCACCCTCTTGCCTATTGGCAAATTGATCTAATATTTGGCACACCTGGTCCGATACAATACAATTTAATTCAGTGATAATGCAAAATTAAAATTGCTCCATTTTAAATGGTAGAAAAGTTGTTTTTTAAAGTCCTTAGTATGACTATTGAATAATTGGGTAAGATAAGTCTAATACTATGACAACAAGATCTGATGAACCATCCGCCATCGGTTGATATCGACTTTCTACATGACGTATTTATCGTAATTTTCCTTGAAATAGTTTTCGCCGAAGTTTAATTACTTTTGTTCTTTATTTTGTCATGGACTTCTTCTGTCCACAAAATGTAAGTCAACATTGCGGTCCATGGCTGTATATAAGAAAGGAAATTGTTCGAGAAAAGTAAATGTATGTGGTCGACTTGAAAAGTTTTTGAATTATGTTTGAGAGATAGCAATTATTAGTAAGGAAAATGAATATATGATTGAAATATATCGCGTCCCTCGATTTAATTTTCTGATATGAACCATGCTCTAGATTAGTCAGGAATTTTTTGTGATGTGCAGTAACTAACAACACATATGGGTTTTTTTCTTAGTTATGCCCTTTTTTCCATAAAAATCATTTTTATACATCATTAAAATTCTCAAATATGTTCATTAAAAATTTATAGAAGTAATCGTATCTCCTTTACAAAGATTTACAAAAATAATATATTTTCAATTTATATATGTACTAAGAATTATACAAATTATTTTATGGAGTGAAGGTATTTTAATGAAATTAAATATTTTCTTCCGTAGCTCTAGCTTGCCAATGTAATTGTTTTTGAAAAAAATATTTTTTCCTTGATTCTAAAAACGCCATGACAATAAAGTCATCACTGCTCTATAGAGATAAAAATTTTTGCCTCCAAGGTATCCATTGAACGGGAAAAATAAGTAAAAGGCACTGAGAGGCAGCTTTGTGAAATTTAAAGGACCATAGCCTAAAATATCTCCTGTAGGTCGCTGTAATGTCTAAAGTAGAATTTTATTTCGTATAGCTCTACTTGATGACATTTTTAAATTATTTTTACACCGTTTTGATGTTGTTTCAGATTTTTCAAAAGCATTGCTAAAGTACTCTACACTTTAATGTTTAAAGTATATAGGAAACTAAAAAACATATATGGTTATGTACTGCAATGTATGTAATATACTGAAATTAGTTTAGTTCCGTTAGCGTGTAATAAATCTGTCGATGGTGAGCCGCTACGAATTGGTTTAACTTATTTGACCACTTACTATTACATACTATTACATATTTTTTCTTGTATTACCTATGTACATAGTGAAGGCAATAGAAGACAGTAGTAATTTCTAATAATACATATATTATATATATATATACATATATATGTATATATATATATATGTATATATATATACATATATATATAATATGTCAAATATTAAGTGCCTATTTTTTTTACATAATTCGAATGAGAATCATGTACCGAGTATTCTCCTTAAATATTGATAGTAATTCACCAGTCACCCTGTATATATATATATATATATATATATATATATATATATATGTATATATATATATATAATATATATATATATATATATATATATATATACATACATATAAAAGAAAGTCGTGTTAGTTACTCCACTTATAACTCAAGAACGGCTGAACCGATTTACCTGAAAATTGGCAGGGAGCTGAAAATTGGTAGTTTAGAGCCAGGAAATTCCAATAGGATACTTTTTATCCCGTTCAATAGCTTTCCCGTGGGACTTGACATGAAACGTCAGTCACTATAAAACGTGGAATAACGAAACACAATTGACAGCTATGCAATTGACGTATAATGACAGATATGTAATGACGTAATGATGACAATTAGATAGGGCGTTATATTTTGCGTGTTCACGAGTTTGGAAATTTCGAGTTCGAAAAAATCACGAGTTTCATTTATTTGTGTTAAAGTTAAGCCAAAAAACAAAAAAACAAAACGGATAATTTGCGGACACGTATAACGCTTCGATTCAGTATCTACTTTGGATTCACTTTCATTTACTTAGAGAAGTTCAACTAAATAACACTTCATTTCTGTAATCGAAATGAATTCATTACTGTTGTGAAATGAAATAAAATTTTTCCTTTTCAAATATAAAACAAAAAAAATTCTTCATTTTTAATCACCAAACGAAATGTTACATAAAAGCCTTCTGGTAGCGAAACGGAGTTCGCCGGGTTTACTAGTTTTATCTAATATATAAAATTCTCGTGTCACGGTGTTCGAATTTGAACTCCTCCGAAACGGCTCGACCGATTTTCGTGATCCTTATCGAGGATACTAACCAGGGGGGAAAATCGGCCAACATCTATTTTTCATCCCCCTAAATGTTAAGGGTAGTCCACCCCTAAATTTTTGTTTTTATTTTTTAGGCAAAATTTTTTGTTTTTATTTTTTTATGACACAGCCTACAAAAATACATACAACCCTAAATTTTCACCCCTCTGAGATCAACCCTTATTTTTTATTTGTTAATTAAAAACTTTAATTTTTTGGCAAAATTTTTTTTTTATTTTTTGATGACTTACAATAAAAAACTCATATTACTCTAAATTTTTCACCCCTCTATTATCAACCCCTATTTTTATTTGTTAATTACAAACTTAAAAATAAATAAGACATAATTTATTTCTTGATTGAGGCAGTACGAAGTCTGCCGGGTCAGCTAGTATGTATATAAAATTCTCGTATCGCGGTGTTAGACAGAGAACTCCTCTGAAACGGCTGGAGCGATTTTGATGAAATTTTGTGAGCATATTGAGTAGGTCTGGGAATCGGTCAACATCTCTTTTTCATACCCTTAAGTCATAAGGGTTGTGCACCCTTAATATTATGATTTTATTTTAGAACAAAATTTTTTGTTTTTATTTTTTATAATGTAGCATTAAAAAAAACATAAAAACCAAAATGTTTAGTTTTTTATCACCAACCCCTATTTATTATATGGCAAAACAATGTTTGATGGGTTAGCTACTATTCGTATATTCGTAACCTTATACTAAAATTTTAAATAAATTAATAATGCTAAAAAATAGGAAAAAGTCTCAAAAACAGGTTAGTCAGAATCGCGTTTATTTTTTAATATATTTTCATTAAATTTAACACATCTTTGTATTTATATCATGTGCCAAAACTGTTAAGAATGTTATAAAAATTACATTAAGGTACAGTACGATAATAGTACTTCTTCACTGCAGGGTTTATCACAGCACTCCGACGCTACGCCAACCAATCTCTTGTACCTGTTGATACGGTCGCTGTCCAAACGAAAATGTCTGAACCAGGGCCATTCGTTCTCTTCGGAGATACTGTTGTACTCTGGCAGAGACTTCTTCATCACGTTCTGACCTTTCATCTCACAAAGCCTTGCGATGACATCAGCCAAGTGACGACCGCAATAAATCTGCCCATGACTTTCAGCTGTTCCAAACATAATGAGGAGAGCAAAGAAGACGAACATTGCACGAAACTCCATGGCTTGATGTTGTTTTTGATTGTGATGAAGTTGTAAAACAATTGGGCCTTTTATACGTGGTTGTGATGATTAATATTCAAATATATGGCATTCACTTTACATAATTATCAATCAACCGACTTTTGAGATAATCTCGCGTTGTACACATTCGTCAGAACACCCACTTGTATTGATATTATGTAAAAATATCTGAAATCTACCCTATGATGTTACGTAACCATAAATCAGTTTCAATTTGTCCATCTGAGTGCACCTTGTATATATTAATATCACCGAGCCCCATAACCTTTATAAGAAGTGATTCTTTCGGTTGAACATCATTACATCGAGTGATTATCAAAAGACAAGATGAAACTTACTCTTTTCATGATTTTTGCGCTAATATCACTATCAAGGGTTACTTCCCAAGGAGCTGGTCAGGTTTACTGTGGAAGAAGACTGGCGATGACTCTGGCCATGCTGTGTGACAATAGTTTAATAAAGAGGTCCGAGCCTCAGTACATTCCCGAGAGCAGCTTCACGTTCCCATGGATCTCGTCTCATCGAGCACACAGCATGGGTCGGAGCAAGAGACAGGTGGTGTCCGAGTGTTGTGATAAACCTTGCTCCGTGGACGAACTGCTGGCATACTGTGGATATTGAACAATTATCTTAAATATTATAAAAGTTATGAAATAAATTAAATGAACATATACAAAAAGCTTTAAATATCCTATTTATTTATCACATATAAATTAAGTAAATTAAATAAAGAGATCATAATATTACATATAAAGAATCGTTAAAGAATTAGTTGAATTTACTACAATAATAAAACAATGTTAAACTACATTAAAAAGTTTCTTTATACCATCGAAGTTAATGTTAAGATAAATTAATTATCTTCTACAGAGTCCTAAAAGCAATAGAAAGTTGACGTCGGATGCATCTGTTGCCGTCTCCGTTATCAAATTTAATTAATTTAATTACAGCCATAATTCACAAAATTGCAAGGACTTATTTTGATTCGGTGAAACTTGTGATTTCTATTGCAAACTTATGTGAAGTTTGTAAATAAAATCTGTAAATTTCAAGATTCAATCATAGTTATATTTCAATATTATTTCAAAATATGGTTGAAAGAAAAAACAATATCTTCTGAAATAAAAAAAAATAGTCTAATATTCTGGTGTTACTTAATGTGGATGGTTTTTAAAATACTTTTATTATACGATGTTCGAAAATTTTGTATAAAGTCAATGCAATGCACTGTTCTGTTCCTATTTTAATTTGAAGTGATCTAGTTACAATTTTAACATAAATACTTAATTTAAAATAACATTTATCCATTGATTAGAAACAGTCATTTATCTATAGATTTATGCATATATTTCGTTAAACAAGAAAAAATTACAATTTACTTAAGCATTTATTACACAAATGTGATATATAAAATGAAATCTTAACACTACTGTTCCAAAAAACACCTTTTATTTTTTGTCGTTTTGTTTATGAGTAAGTTAGATTTGTTTCTTTCATTAAATATTTTACTTTGTTTTTAACAGTTAATGAAAATTTAAACCACCATTTAACATCATTTGATATATGAAAAGAACAAATTTCGGAGTGCTTCTGTTAACGACACGTTACAAAAATAAAAAGCAATAGTTTAAATGAAAATTTTAAAAGTATCCTATATAAAAAAAAGAAACAAATTTAATATAAAAGCATTACACAATATAGTAATGCTATTACTATACAAAAAGTACCCAAACGAAAATTCCCTTAATTTTCTGAGCCTTAAATAAAATAACGTTCTTTCAAACGAAATAACATTTATTGACAAAATTTTATTTCAATTACGGCTCACATTGAATTACATTCCAAATGCGTTTTAAATGTGCCACAGACGTCTTGTACCTTTATTTTTATCTCAAGATGAATGTCTGGACTCCTTACATAATTATCCCCTCGGTCATTAAACGTTTTTGCTGATCTCCTATCGGATATTAAGCTTTTAATTATACGAAAAAAAAGACAAATATCTTCGAAATTTCTCTAGACTTTATTTTACAATGAATAAACTAAAAGACATTAAAAAACCAGATATGGCATTGTTTCGAAAGCAGTCTATTTTATTAAAATCGTCACAAAATACACAATATAAACTCAAGGAGTATGTTATTATACGATATACTAGTTTTTGCCCGCTACTTCGGGTTAGTTTGGTCAAGAGTAATATATGTAGGTATAGCTGACCAGACGAACTCTATTCCGTCTTAGAGGCCATAAATAATCCGGTTTTTCCTGTTTCAATCAAACAGAATGATTGACATATTAGTTAGTTGTCAAATCTAATGTCAAAAAAAAACGTTTGTATAGGAAATAGAAAATTTTTCTCACCTTTTACACCTTCCCTGGATTTCCAGAAGTATTTCAAGACTAAAATTAGCCAAATCGGTTCAGCCATTCTCGAGTTTTAGCTAGACTAAGAAACAGCAATCAATTTTTATATACATATATAGAAGATTACGGTTGAGTCTCTCTGTCACTGTTTACTTTTGAATAGTTTTTTCAGAAAATTTAAAATAATATTCGTTTTCCTACAGGGAACTCCTGTACTCTTCCAAAATATGTGTCGTATATCGTTAACGAAATATTTATAAAAAATAACCTTATTTATTATTATTGGTACTGCTCCGAATCTACATACTTTTCTTAGTTGCATTTAAATATGTTTTATTAATATTTAAAAAATATCTAGTTTATCTTAAGCAAAACTGTTATAACATCGCAATAACTGTAAAGGTATAGCATCAACCTTATATGAACCATTTATTTATACAATTTATTATAAAAAAAAATTACACAAGACAATATATGAAATTAAATTAGTTCGTAACTAATAATAATGTATCGGATGTGTTTCAACCATTTCTAATACATTGAATTATTATACTATGTGTTAATATTGATATAAATTTCAAATATTTACTCGACTGAAAATTATGTCATATAAATATTAATTCGCTGTTACTGTCTCAATTGACATCAACTTCAAAATTATTAAATAATTATGTCATAGCTTTTGTTAAACCAAATTATAATACCTATCACTTTGAAGAAAGTACACTATATATTTGTTTTGATTTCCTTTTTAATGTCAGATTTAGTTTTTGGATTTCTGTTTTATTTCACGATTTGAAGTAAGAAAAAGATTAAGAAAAGAAGTTCCTCGAATAAAGAGACGATGTTTACTTGAATAGAAAAATGGTAGACGGTAACTTTTAGAAATAAAATTAACACTAATGAAAACTGACATACTACTGTCCGTTATAGTTAGAAGTTAGAAAGAAAAAAATAAGAAACTAGATTGGTAAAATCGCGGAGAGTAGCTGGAATTATTTTGTGATTTAAAAATAGGTTAGGTTATCGAAAGTTTTCTCTCTGTTCTCCTTTTAATGAATTCCTCTGGGAAAAATTGTTTCCAAAAAAGGACATGAAGTTTGTTCATAATGAATTGGAGCTATCAATAAGCACAAAAAATATTCGTTCAAACTTATTAACCCACTTTTCTCTCAAAAAAGACCGACTACTAAAATTCCATTCAGAATTTGGAAGCAAAACTTTCCTGTAGTAATCATGTTATGCTATAATTTAAAAATGCCTGTAAATGTTCGTTGAGAAAATTTATATATAATTTTAATCAAGCTTTGAGGTTCAGAATAAACTAAATATTCTTTTAAAAAATATAAATTCATATCAACAAAAGGAGTAACCTACTTATGATGTGGTAATAAGTGTCAGAATAATATTATAATTTCGTTTATTTTCACCTAAATGACGTCACATATCAAAATAACATCTACTAGAGATAATGAATATTTGAATATTAATGAACTTTTCATCGTATAAAAGCGATTCACATTTCATCATTAGACACATCTTCATCAACCTCCTACTGAACAACATGAGGTCCTCTACAGTAAAGGTTCTCATGCTTCTGATCGGTCTCTCCATGGTGCTATCATCACAAGGACACGACCAGGTTTACTGTGGTAGAAGACTGGCGATGACTCTGGCCATGCTGTGTGACAATAGTTTAATAAAGAGGTCCGAGCCTCAGTACATTCCCGAGAGCAGCTTCACGTTCCCATGGATCTCGTCTCATCGAGCACACAGCATGGGTCGGAGCAAGAGACAGGTGGTGTCCGAGTGTTGTGATAAACCTTGCTCCGTGGACGAACTGCTGGCATACTGTGGATATTAACCTAATCCTAGTTTTCTTCAAATTATAAATAAATCTTTATTAATTTAAAAATATATCCTTTATAATTACCAAATGTAGTTTTTGTTTAAAAAAAATGGATTCTATTTAAAAAAAAAAAAAAAAAATTTGGTACAATAAGTAATAAGAGCGAATGTATTTGAAAGCAGAAACAGTTGAATTTGAAATTTGAAATATCTCATAATTATCTGTTAACACCTATTACGTTCAAGCGTAACAAATTTTCCAGTTGTAACAAATTTTCCAGTTAAAGTTCCAATTCCATTTAGCCAAAACTAAACTAAATAGATTTTCTAGTTTCATCTAGTAGACTTATATGTAGATGAAATGTGTTAAGGAAAAGGCAATAGTTTATAAAATTTTGCAACAAAAATGACGTTGTCAAGATTTTATCTGATTAATATTGTCTAAGGAATCTACAAATATATAGAAAAAAAATTATTTACTTTATTTAGATTTATTATATATAAGTCTAAATATCGTTTTGAAATTAAATCGCCTTGGTTTCGTTACTAATTAAACCGTCGATTTCGTTATCGGATTCATTTTATTCATATAAATGCCTAAAACTGAAATATTTATTAATAATTCTACCTTCAATATATGAAGGATTCAATTAAAAGTTTTTATTTATAACGAAATTTCAGAATTTGTTACGAGTAATACAAAAAAAAAAATGCCCGCGGGTACGCGAAATGAAAGAAAAAATTAATTGAATTCGCGTTGTTATCAT